ATAAATGGACAGGAAATCTGAAAATGAAGTTTAGAGTGATGTAATCAAATCATTTATGTACTGTATTCTGGTGGAGGTGAGAGACTGTAATTTTTGTATGCTTGTATTGTCAAAATGTGAATGATGACATTGTTTTAGAGCACAGTAGCTTATAGATAACAGTATAAGGCTAACACATTCATACTAAAATGATTTCTGATTTCATGGGCACTTTAAGTATACCGTGCTGGGCTTGCAGAGTAATCATGGGACATTTTCCTCATCCTAACCACAGTGGGAGAGCCTTTCCCAATCCCCCTCAGCACTTTATTTGCTCTTGGGTCTCTCGTGTAATCACTGAAGTTGGCTCTCTTAAGGAAGCTCTCTTTATCAGAATTACAGTATGAAGACACTCTCGCATTCGGTTCACACTCAGTATACCAGCCCTGCACTGCTACACCTTATAAATATCACTTCCAGGAAGTCATAGAGTTCAACACCATCAACAACTACATTTTTTAGAGATAAAAAATTTGTAGATGTTTATAATTTCATTGTGAACCTGTGTAGTAGCTACTGTATGCAAAGTATTGTGCTTTGCGTTTATTGATATATTCGCTACTAGAGTACCGGTATTCACTACTATTATTCGGATCTTATGACATTGTCTTCCCTCACACAACAAATTCTGTGGTGGTACCATAGTTCATTGAAGCTATCACATGGAAATACCTGGGTACTTGATATATAGATCCTCAATCAATGTACTACAGTATTTACAGTATGTCAAGGTCAAATGATTGGACTATGGACTAATACATTTTTTATTATACATTCTTCATTATTACTATTTTCCACATTTAGTAGTCATCAAAATAACAACAACAACAATAAAAAGGGAAAAACAGTTTAATATTGTCTAGATTCCAGCCCAGTAAACTCTCATTCATTTAACTTTAGTGTGTGTTCTGCAAGGCTGTGAACAAAACATTTATTTATTTATTTTTTTATTTTTTTATTTATTTTTTTATAGACAGGCACATATATATATATATATATATATATATATATATATATAATGTGCCTGTCTATAAAAAATAAAAAAAACGATATACTATATATAAAACTATATACATATAGCTATATAATATATATATAAATACAGGCTTCATAGAAAGTGTTACCGAACATGATATTGTTACCATGATATGGGTGATAGAACTATGTAATAAAGTGTCAATCAATAGAGGTTTTGCTATCAAATGATATTGTGGTGAGTAAATATATCTGCACAAGGCAGTAATGCTTAAAGTTATTGATTTGTTAGAGTAATAAAGAAATTACTGGATGGATGAGAAATGTAATGATACCTGCTTGATGTTAAAATTAGTTATTGAGCGCAATAAGCAGCGAAAAGAACTCAATATGCTACTTGTGCTGTCTTGGCACACACCCAAAATGTGCACACAGAAAACCGTCTGTCTTCGACTGAATGCTCAAATACACACAAAATGCTTGCCTTAGTGAGTATCCTGAAAATCGGAATAACTTCAATAGCTTTAAATAGGAGTCAGTGTATATTTAATTTATACAGTAAAGACCATGCAGTGTTTTATATTGTTGTAAAATGTTGTGTTTATATGTCTAAAGTCATCAGTCTTTGCAAATAAATGCTCCATAGAGACAATGGGAGAGTTGTATCTTGCCAGGTTCACTAGAAGTCACAGCGTGAATAATATTTCACTGGTTTATAAAAAGCAAGAGAGAGTTCTGATGGTCTTCATACTAGGGATGGGGCCGATCCGATCCAGTATCGGTATCGGGACCGATACCAGCATAATTCACGTATCGGATTTTCCCGATCCAACCTGCGGAGAAATCCGATATTTATGATCCATGTCTGCGCTTTAACGTTGTCTGCTGAAATGACTCCAAAAGTGATTCCCGCCGGGCCTGCTGGTCTGCTATAGCTGGCTGCAAACTGTGGAATGGATACCCTGAACGGAGGTGCAGCTCAATCAGTGACTGTAAAACATAGGGCTCAATGAGACACACCCCCGCTCAGGAAATCCATTCCGCAGTTTGCAGCCAGCTAGCAGGATGTTCGCTGTGTGGAAATCATATGGTGGAACTGGAAACACCGCTGCAGTGCAGAGCAAGACAGCAAAGTGCAATGTTTGCAAAGCCGTATTAATTAAACTATTTGATGAATGTTTGCAATTCGCAGTCCAGAAGAGAAAGAGAGAGATCTCTCACGCGGTGCAACAACAGCAAGCACAACATGACAGCCCGGCGTAATGAGTGACGACAGAGGAAACGTAGCCTGGTTACACTTTAGATCTGTAATATTAGTCTGATTTCCAAATATTAAAGAATATATTGAGGTAAAAAAAAAAAAAAAAAAAAAAAAAACATTAAAAACAATAGCCGCATTCTGTCTAGCCAACTTCCTTCCCATCGCGGCGGTGCGCTGTCATTTCTCCCTAAAACTCAAACTTTAAGACAGAATCAGCACGATCGATGATTGTAGTAAAATGCAGTCTCTGCTGTTACTAAATTGCGGGACGCTTTTAATAATAAAAAGAGCTATTAAAAGCACAAAATTTGCGCAAGAGATGCTGTTCCCAGTGCGGCGCGCTCCGAAACAGACCACAACAAGACAAGCAAATTATACTCTGGGCTTCATATGCGCGTCTAAACGATCAAATGTAGCCTGCACAAAAATGTCAAACCGACCGACTTGGAGATTAACACTTAAACAATTTATTATGTCTAAAATGAACGTAGTTATGGAAATATTTGGGAGAAAATATAGTGCATCAGTAGACTATGAAATCTGAACTCGTTCTTAAAGGGGCAGCAGTATAAATGTGACGATTGCGACATTACTGAGAATCAAACAACCAAAGGCAAAGAGAAAATCACTCACAGCTCTTGAATGAATTACTTCAGCTTTAATAAGCATAAATCTATCTATGATAAACTTCGCAGTGCTATTTTACTTTTGATTACTTTATTATAATTCTTTTTAAGACCATACCTGAATAATGTTTGTAGACCTTCCTGAAATTAAAGCACTGTGTAGGCCTGTATAATGTGTATCTTTGTTTAATTGTCTATCTATTGTTTAATATATATATATATATATATATATATATATTGACATACATACATACGTACATATCATCCTTGCCTGTAGAGAGGAGTTTATTTCAGCATCATATAAAATCATCAACAATAATGATAAATACTATTAAAGCAAACACAGCTCTGGTATCGGAAAAGTATCGGTATCGGTCGATATCCAAAGTCAGGTATCGGGATCGGATCGGAAGTGAAAAAATGTGGATCGGTGCATCCCTACTTCATACTGAAATACTGAATATAATATCAGCTTTGGGAAACATGATAAAACTTCACCTGTGATGGTACATGTGCCTTGAGCACTGCAACGTAAATTAATCTATGAATAGTTGATGGAATTCCCTTTGCTGATCTTTCTTGGATTACAGACTGTTACATGAGTTGTAGAGGGCAGAGGATGGTGCAACAGCTCATCTTCATCAAATTTGCTGAACCACAGAAGAAATAAATCTAAGCCAAACATGTGTATAAAAGGACTAAAGGCCCCTCAGGCTCAACTGCCCAACACTAGATAAACCACCACAGTACTTTCCAAAACACTTGTTTATCACTTAACACTGTCAAACTTTCCTGATCCATTAAGTCGTTGCATGCATTGGCATTTTGAGGTAAATTGAAGATCATTTTTATTTAATAATAATTAAATTTTCCACACCCGTGTCTTCGATTTTCAATTTAAGTGATTTCATGACACTATTTAACAAGGGTTTGTTTTGACGCTCATCTTTTCCAGTACATTGGATTTTCACCTGCTCAATTGTTGACAACCAATTAAGAGGCTCTTTGACAGGTTTTCATGGGAGGACAGGAACTCAAAACCTTCCCTGACAAACATTTAATAGTGAAAGGGAAAACATTCCCTTGAAAGATCAAATGTGAAAAGAACAACTTGTAAATTGCAACAAGACCAACATTTGATATCAAAAAGTTTTAGATTGGTAAACATTATGCTTTTAGAACGCCATAGGGTCTTCAAATCATCGGAGCGCATTCATTTGTGTAGTTGTTGATGTGGTGAACTCACCAATACAAGACGGAAGTGGTTTGTCCCACACCCTACGGTCTCCGCTGAGGCACGTCAGTGTGCTGCTGCCGTGCAGTGTGTATCCAGGATTGCAACTGTACAGCACGTACGTGTCTGCAAAATGGCCGTCGTCTTGGATTTTGTAGCCGTAATTAGGTGTCCCCGGCTCCTCACATTTGACAAGGTCAAAACCTGTTAGGGGCAGGATCAAGGTAAGCCAATTTGAACAGTAAAAAGACATCTGGCCACATGAAATCAACCCCCTGGCAGGCTGGATTGGCCTCTTGCTTAATAATGACATAAAGGCGGTGCAAGAAATGACACCTGCTCAAAACAGTTACCTATGCAGCCCCCAGGAGCCCGCCTCAAATGAATACCAGCACAGCATCTGCTCAACTCAAAGATCACCTTTTTAAAACATGTTGTCCATTCTTCCAGTATCCGTTTTGTTAGTGCGTGTTTCCAATGCAGGACAGCCTTTTCAAAAAATGGATCTGAAAACAATAGACCTGCTGTGCTACTCTTTAATGCATTTACTAGTCTCTTTCATTTAGCCGGGGAGATGGTGGAAGTCTTAACGAGGAAATAATGAGGAGTGGGTAACGAGGATATTATCAGACTGTCTCTGACCAGCAATTAAAATCGTAATATCTTGCACATGCTGTGTCTTTACTGTCTTTGTTTCTACTTCTTCGTTCTTCTAATTACAGTAATAGTATTCTTCTTTTTAAATGAATTTAGTGTCAAAATGTAGTGACAGAGATTTAAGTGTGTGCTATAAACGTGTGTGTGTGTGTGTGTGTGTGTGTGCAGGTTTAGCTATAGACCATTTCACAAGATGTAAATGTAGCAGTATGCATTTACGCTCCTTATTAACACACGGCTGGAGGGCGATTTAACGTTAGTGATGGGGACTTTAAATATGGCTTGTGCACGTCAGCTGGGAAGGCATCATATGTGACGTCATGTCCTTGTTGTCATTCCGGCTCGATGGGCAAGTGCTAGAGAGGTAAGAGCTGCAGGCCAGCGACACGTTTGTTAATGATTCTTGTGGGACGGGGTGATGTATAGATTCTTTTTTTGTAGTGGACGGGGAAATTAACCGGTATGCACTCGGCTGCGCTCCTGGTTGTGTAAAACTTCGGTGTGGGGATGAATTCCGCGATGTGTTAATACAGTGCTGTTGCAGGTATGTTTGCAACCTCCCATATCTACTGTCTTATTTTGACCTCAAGTTCGCCTGGTGAGTTTCTTCTTTTCTTTCTCGTTTGATTTAGGTGTCTTCCATATGCCTGTATGACGTAATGGTGGGTTGTTTGTTGCTGCGGTCAGCTGCTTGCGAGACGCTGGAAATCGAGATCCAGACCTAACATAAACTTGCTGTTCCAACATAAACTCGCTGTTAAATTACCAATTAATGCTGTGACTGCTTTTTTTTGGCTTGCGTTAATAGATACAGCATTGACTGTGTTACGCAAGTTAGTCTGAACGGCTCCACGACGTCACCCGAACTCGATATCAGTAACGGTGGATGGTGGATGCTTTTCTTGTCTTGAGTTTGACGTTAAGTTACATCTTTCGTAACGAACGCTGTTTGGCGGGACCTCTTGATGCTCATTGCTCCGTCACCACTGTTTATTGTAGCTTTATGATTTAAGTTTTCATGTATGCTGGCTTTGTTTATTTTTAGGTTATGTGAATGTCCATTGGTGTTTTTTTTGTTTTGGTAACTCAAGTGCATCCCTCGTGGCCTCCATACGATGCACACAAGTACCTGGTCTGTATGTGTTTGACTTGTTCCAGAGGTGTTCACTCACTTGATTCTTACAGAATACCTTGCATATTTGGTGAATATCTGTGGTGATATAATGTTTGTCATCATACTATGCTGAGATGAACACTGTGCATTTGGACCCAAAACTTGTGGTTGTGTAACTTTTTTTTGTATTCATTGTGTAAATTGTGTATAATTGTGGTGTCTGAGTTTTGTGTTTGTTCTTTATTATAGGCCTGGGCGACAAGGAAAAGAAGGGGCGGCAGCTCTCCTGGTCTTGGTGGTGGTGTCTTTGGAGTGCTTGCTGTGCCACACAGAGGTGTTTGACAGTGCAGTGTGAGTGCACGAGTGTGTGTGGTTTTCTTTGTTTTTCTTCTCAGGAGAATAGAGAGGCCCTTATGGGTTGAGTGTTTCCGGCTGTCGACCCCGATTTCCGTCGTCCGGGCTGCTTAACGTCAAATATCCTTGTGACTGTCGCTTTTGTGATTACTTGAACTATTTTAAATAATAAAATTGATTTTATTGTTTGTACACTTCACCCATGTCTCATGCCTGACTCCAACTGAAACGAACCTGTGAGCCTTGTGTGCTCTTAACTATCTTGGGCGAGTCCCTGGTATTAAGCCTCCAGGGTGGCGTAGTTGGTCCATTTCTTTAGTGTGTCTGCATCGGGCGCCACAATCTGGCGTAGCCGGCAGGATAGAGGTTGTGTGGTCAAAGGTTGAGACAAGGGTGTAAGTTGTGGTGTTTTTGTTTTTCTTTTTTTTTCTTTTTTTTCTCTTTCTCTAACAGTGGTGACTGGTTTGTGGGTATTTGCTTGGACCCCCCCTCATGGTAAGTACGTCCCCTGTTGAATTATGGAGGACGAGTTACAAGTAATGAGGGATTTGATAGCCCAATTGAAGGCCGATAATGAGAGACTGTTGCAGGAACGGCGGCCAGTTGAGTTGCCCGATCCTGGAACAGCCTCTTCTAGCATAGTGCCACCAGTAATACCACCAGTTATACCACCGTTGGTCGATGCTGGAGTGACGGAGAGACTAGTGTTTATACCACGAGATAGACGCTGTCCTAAATTTAGTGGTACCGTTGGTGTTCGTATTAACGAATGGGTAGAAGAAGCCCAAGCATGTATGCGTGTACGTAATCTTTCTCTTGCTGATCAAGCTTTCTTTCTGTTTGACCACCTCGAAGGTGAAGCTCGCGAAGAGATAAAGTTTCGGCCGGAAATTGAAAGAAATGATCCTAATAAAATTATTTCAGCGTTGCGTGAAGTTTACGGATGTTCGGAGTCGTACGTTGCTTTACAGGAAGCCTTTTTTTCTCGGAGGCAGCAGGCTGGTGAGACATTGTTAGAGTTTTCCCTAGCCCTGATGAGCCTCCTAGAGAAATTGAAAGATCGGTCGCCACACATGTTTGCAAATGCTGACATTGTTGTACGGGATCAATTCATTGAGTACGTGTCCGATAGCGCTCTTCGTAGGGAGCTCAAGCAGCTTATTCGAAGACAGCCCACCATGACGTTATTGGAGGTTCGGGGGGAGGCAATTCGATGGGAACAGGAGGGAAGGCCGGGCGGTGCGAGAGGTCGGAGTCATTCAGTTCCATCATTGGGTGGAATTCAGTATGGGGTACAAGGGGGAGTTAGCTCAGGTTTGAGTCATGGGAACTCATCGGTTGAGTTGAAGGAGCTGCGAGAAATGTTGCAGCATCAACAACAGCAGATAAATCAACTCACACAAGCCCTCGCTCACAACCAATCACCCCGTTTTCATCGTCAATGTCCTCGTTCCGAACCGTTGATTTGCAGGCGCTGTCAGCAACCGGGCCATTTTGCTCGGGAGTGCAACGGGGAGCGTCGTCCCCCTTGCCCTCCGTCGAGGCCCCTTGCTGTTCCTTCGGCCGTTGAGTTGGTTTGCAGGCGGTGTCAGCAACCGGGCCATTTTGCTCGGGAGTGCAATGGGGAGCGTCGTCCCCCTTGCCCTCCGTCGAGGCCGCTTGCTGTTCCTTCGGCTGTTGAGTCAAGGTCGTCGCAGGTATTGCCGTCGTCGGGAAACTAATACCCACTGGGCTGCAGAGCCACAGCTCAGTCGGGGGTACGTTTGGCTCTCAATTCCCACGTAGTAACGAGTCGGTATCCCGGTTGGTTTCCGCATGTCCACATTCTATTGTTAAGATTGGGGGAGTCCCGGTGTCTTGTTTAATTGATACTGGCTCCATGGTCTCGACCATTACAGAGCGTTGCTTTCAGCAGCAGTTCGAACCACGGGGTCAGGATCATTTGCAGTCGTGTCGTTGGCTGCAGCTCCGAGCAGCTAACGGTCTGGAAATTCCGTATATTGGTTATATGGAGATTGACGTTGAGTTTTGCGGTAAGGTACTCTCTAACTGTGGGGTGTTGGTGGTCCGAGACCCTCCTAGTGGTTGGAGCACTGACACCCCCGGCATTTTGGGGATGAATGTACTCAGTCGTTGTTATAGGGAGCTTTTCGGGCAACACGGACCCGCTTTGTTCGAATTACCGTTTGTGACACGCGACCCTAGTATTGTGCAGGCATTTCAAGACTGCCAAAGGACAACTCGACTGTTCGACCATGGAGGCGACGTAAGGGTGCGGGGACGAAGGGTGTGCCGCATTCCTGGGGGTACTATGAAGCTAGTTGCGGCAACGTGTTCAGCATTGTACAGGGGTAGCACTGTGTTGTTTGAGCCCCCAGAGACTGGTCTTCCTGCGGGCCTGTTGGCCTCTCCCGCTCTGGTGCAGGTGGTCTCAGGTACAGTTTATGTGCCTTTGGTCAATGTAGGTACTGTGGATGTGGTGCTTTATCCCACCACAGTCATAGGTGAGTTAAGAGAAGTATATTTGACAGACTTGCCTGTTGGATTGGCTGAGGTTCCTTCAGTGGTTGCACAGGTTGCTGCTGGTGGTGCTTCAGGTACCCCTGTACCTGACCAAATTGAATCTGTCGATTTGGGGGGGTTATTGGCCGAAGAGCAGTTACAGGTTAAAGCTCTACTTCTAGAATACCAGAATGTGTTTTCGATGCATGAGGGAGATCTAGGTTGTACAACATTATTGTCCCATGAGATTCCCCTAACCGATGATGTGCCCATCCGACAACGCTATAGGCGAATTCCACCTTCAGAATATGAGTTGGTTAAAGCTCATATTAACCAGTTGCTGGACTCCCAGATTATTCGAGAGTTGTAGCCCTTACGCGTCTCCCATCGTGTTAGTTAAAAAGAAGGATGGTAGCCTCCGCATGTGTGTCGACTACAGACAACTTAATTCTAAAACACGTAAGGATGCTTTTCCACTTCCGAGAATTGAGGAGACATTGGACTCATTGACAGGGGCTCGCTGGTTTTCCACATTGGATTTAGCCAGCGGGTACAATCAGGTCCCTGTCTCTGAGTCTGATCGACCAAAGACCGCCTTTTGTACTCCATTCGGGCTCTTTGAGTGGAATCGCATGCCCTTTGGCCTCTGTAACGCTCCGAGTACCTTTCAGCGCTTGATGGAGCGACTTTTCGGGGATCAGAGACATCAAACAGTCTTATTGTATTTGGATGATATAATTGTATTTTCTTCGTCCGTGCAGCAACATCTACAGCGGTTGAGAGTAGTGCTGAGTCGCCTACAGGCTGAGAATTTGAAGGCCAAATTGGACAAGTGTGCGTTCTTTCGTGAAGAAGTTAAATATCTGGGGCATGTCATTTCTGCTCGGGGTGTGGCGACGGACCCGGGTAAGATCGAGGCCGTAGCTCAGTGGCCTCGGCCGTCCACTGTGTCAGAGCTGCGGACCTTTTTGGGCTTCGTGAGCTATTATAGGCGGTTTGTGGAGGGGTTTGCGAGGCTAGCGGCTCCCTTGCATAGGTTTGTAGCTGAAGCAACTGGGGGAAAGTCGGGTAGCACGAATAAGCGAGGGTGCATCGAGTCTTGGCCTGCGCAGTGCGAGGAGGCATTTGAGAACCTTAAACACCGGCTTACAACAGTACCTGTGTTGGCGTACGCTGATTTTACGAAACCATTTATTGTGGAGGTGGATGCCAGCCATATGGGATTGGGTGCGATACTCTCGCAAGAAGTAGATGGTAAGGTTCGTCCTGTCGCTTATGCGAGCCGTACTCTTCGGCCGGCTGAACGTAATACAGCTACGTACAGCTCTATGCGGTTGGAATTCTTGGCCCTAAAGTGGGCGATGACTGAAAAGTTTCGCGAGTACCTCTTGGGAAACAAGTGTGTAGTGCGAACTGATAACAATCCACTAAGCCACTTGGCCACTGCTAAGCTCGGCGCTACTGAACAGCGGTGGGCAGCTGAATTAGCAGTGTTCGACTTTGAGATCCAATATCGATCTGGCCGAATGAATCAGAACGCAGATGCATTGTCTCGCCAGAACTCTGCTACCTTGGAGGGAGGACATGGGTGGTCACCAGGTTTGGTGGTACCAGAGCTGTTGAGGCGAGCTGTACAGTCGGAACCTATGGGGGTGATCCATTCTGGTGCTATCCAGGCCTTGCCTAGCCGCTCCAGTGCAGATATAAGTGCTCTGCAGGAAGCTGACCCCGACATTGAGCAGGTGTGGAGTCTATGGCGACAGCAACGACGTCCAGGGCCAATTGAACGACGACGGTTGTCCAAGTCCTCGTTAACCTTACTCCAGCAATGGGACCGACTGGTGGAGGGTAAGGGCCTGTTATACCGTAGAGTGTTTCGTCCAGATGGTGGCGAGGAAGTTCTTCAGCTAGTATTACCGAGAGTTTTGAGGTCCGAGGTACTGACACAGCTCCACCAACAGCATGGGCACCAGGGCATCGAACGCACTTTGGAATTGGTACGGCAGCGATGCTACTGGCCAGGTATGGCCGCTGATGTTGCTCACTGGGTCCAGGGATGTGAGCGGTGTCAGTTGGCCAAGGCGGCTCCCCCGATTGCTCGAAGTTTCATGGGGCACCTTCTGGCGTCCCGGCCTAACGAAATTGTGGCCATGGATTTTACTGTCTTAGAGCCATCCCGTTTAGGGCAGGAGAATGTATTGGTATTAACTGATGTCTTCAGTAAGTTCACTGTGGCTATTCCTACTTTCGACCAGAGGGCAGAGACAGTTGCCCGAGTTCTGGTGGAGGAATGGTTCTTTAAGTTTGGGGTTCCTGGCCGGATTCATTCCGACCAGGGCCGCAACTTTGAGGCCACCCTTATCCAGCAATTGTGCAGTCTTTATCAAGTGACCAAGTCCCGCAGCACTCCTTACCATCCAGCCGGTAATGGCCAGTGCGAACGATTTAATCGTACATTACACAACCTGCTACGAACTTTGCATACTGGAAGAAAGAGAGACTGGGCGTCCTGTTTATCACAGGTATTGTTCTGTTATAATACAACTCCTCACCAAGCTACGGGTGAGAGCCCTTACTTTTTAATGTTTGGACAGGAGCCAAGGTTGCCGATAGATTTTCTGCTGGGGAGTGTGCAAGAGCCAGCTGCAGGTGAGGTGCATCATTGGGTCGAGGAGCATCAGGCTCGGTTACAAGTGGCATTTGAGGGTGCCCGCGACCGTTTAAATGTTGCGGCTACTCGCCGTAAAATGATACACGATCGGCGGGTGCGGGAGTTACCATTGCAAGAGGGGCAACGGGTATATCTTCGTGATCATTCAGTACGGGGTCGTCATAAGATTCAGGACTTATGGAGTTCGATCACCTATCAAGTTTTAAGGGCGCCCCGAGAAGCTGGGGGTGCTGTGTACACAGTGGCTCCCGTGGAGGATCTGCGTAAGATCCGTCACGTTCATCGGTCCTTATTGAAACCCCAGAGCGGTAACGAAGCGTCGGAAGAATTACCTGAGCTTTTGATGGAGTCATCCGTTCAAATAGTGGCAGAGGAAGAGTTGGAGGATGTCGATTTGGGGTATGTGATGCCGGTAGTCCCCCCAGTAGCTCATGGATGTACTACTGCAGGTACTCCAGTAGGGGGAGTATTGACTGCTGCTGCCTCACCTGATGACACCTCCAGGATGCCGCTGGTGGAGGGTTGCAGGGGCCAACAGGCAAGCCCAGTATCAGTGCCCCTGGTTGGATCTCCGTCACTCGATGTAGTAGTCCCACGTCGAACGGGACGTGTGGGGGCTGGAGAACATTCCAATAGGTATCACCTTCCACGAGGAGTTGGAATGGTGAACTCTGGGGTGGCTGAGTTTCCAATCCCAGGGTCCCACGCCGTCATGGCTTTGTTTCGACCATGGCAGTAAGTCCCCTGAGAAGTTTCAGGTAATTGTTTCACCGTCGGGACGACGATGAAAGGTTGAGGGGGTAGACTGTAGCAGTATGCATTTACGCTCCTTATTAACACACGGCTGGAGGGCGATTTAACGTTAGTGATGGGGACTTTAAATATGGCTTGTGCACGTCAGCTGGGAAGGCATCATATGTGACGTCATGTCCTTGTTGTCATTCCGGCTCGATGGGCAAGTGCTAGAGAGGTAAGAGCTGCAGGCCAGCGACACGTTTGTTAATGATTCTTGTGGGACGGGGTGATGTATAGATTCTTTTTTTGTAGTGGACGGGGAAATTAACCGGTATGCACTCGGCTGCGCTCCTGGTTGTGTAAAACTTCGGTGTGGGGATGAATTCCGCGATGTGTTAATACAGTGCTGTTGCAGGTATGTTTGCAACCTCCCATATCTACTGTCTTATTTTGACCTCAAGTTCGCCTGGTGAGTTTCTTCTTTTCTTTCTCGTTTGATTTAGGTGTCTTCCATATGCCTGTATGACGTAATGGTGGGTTGTTTGTTGCTGCGGTCAGCTGCTTGCGAGACGCTGGAAATCGAGATCCAGACCTAACATAAACTTGCTGTTCCAACATAAACTCGCTGTTAAATTACCAATTAATGCTGTGACTGCTTTTTTTTGGCTTGCGTTAATAGATACAGCATTGACTGTGTTACGCAAGTTAGTCTGAACGGCTCCACGACGTCACCCGAACTCGATATCAGTAACGGTGGATGGTGGATGCTTTTCTTGTCTTGAGTTTGACGTTAAGTTACATCTTTCGTAACGAACGCTGTTTGGCGGGACCTCTTGATGCTCATTGCTCCGTCACCACTGTTTATTGTAGCTTTATGATTTAAGTTTTCATGTATGCTGGCTTTGTTTATTTTTAGGTTATGTGAATGTCCATTGGTGTTTTTTTTGTTTTGGTAACTCAAGTGCATCCCTCGTGGCCTCCATACGATGCACACAAGTACCTGGTCTGTATGTGTTTGACTTGTTCCAGAGGTGTTCACTCACTTGATTCTTACAGAATACCTTGCATATTTGGTGAATATCTGTGGTGATATAATGTTTGTCATCATACTATGCTGAGATGAACACTGTGCATTTGGACCCAAAACTTGTGGTTGTGTAACTTTTTTTTGTATTCATTGTGTAAATTGTGTATAATTGTGGTGTCTGAGTTTTGTGTTTGTTCTTTATTATAGGCCTGGGCGACAAGGAAAAGAAGGGGCGGCAGCTCTCCTGGTCTTGGTGGTGGTGTCTTTGGAGTGCTTGCTGTGCCACACAGAGGTGTTTGACAGTGCAGTGTGAGTGCACGAGTGTGTGTGGTTTTCTTTGTTTTTCTTCTCAGGAGAATAGAGAGGCCCTTATGGGTTGAGTGTTTCCGGCTGTCGACCCCGATTTCCGTCGTCCGGGCTGCTTAACGTCAAATATCCTTGTGACTGTCGCTTTTGTGATTACTTGAACTATTTTAAATAATAAAATTGATTTTATTGTTTGTACACTTCACCCATGTCTCATGCCTGACTCCAACTGAAACGAACCTGTGAGCCTTGTGTGCTCTTAACTATCTTGGGCGAGTCCCTGGTATTAAGCCTCCAGGGTGGCGTAGTTGGTCCATTTCTTTAGTGTGTCTGCATCGGGCGCCACATAAACAACACTGGTCCAGAAGCACTTCCTGTTTCAGTTTTTAACACTACATAAAAGCTGGGATAAAATACAACCAACAGAACATTTAAAACTGAATTCAAAAGTTAAACAAACATCTTTAAGATGTTTCCTTTACATGTGAAATAAAGAAAACAGTTACAAACTGAAACAGGAAGTGCTTCTGGACCAGTGTTGTTTACATCTTGTGAAATGGTCTAATGCACAACATAGTGAAATATTATGACAACTAACTAAGTCATTTTACTGGTCCTCACTAGTTACGAATCGGCCAAAACATATATTTATTTAAATCTAGTGTTTTGAACGTGTTTCTGTAATGAGTAGGTTTAGGCATAGGGGCAAAATAAGCAATAAAGAAAATATTATTAACCTGATATAAAATCACTGGAAGTCTTAGCGATGTCCTCACTAATATAATGAAACAAATGTGTGCGCGTTTCATAATTGTACTTCTATTTTCTGCTTAACAAACAATAAAAAAGGGACAAAAAAAACAACCTTTGTTTGGCTACTGCATCTAGTTCATGCGTGATGTGCAAAATATGATTGTCAGCAGTCAGCCATCAAATTACTGTCACACTGGGGTGACAATTCAATAGATTGAGCTGAAAATCAGTTTGACAACCTTACAGTCAATTCATTTTAATCAAAGTGAATGCTAGATTTGTCAAAATGTATAATAAATGTGACAATTTTGTATCGGACAGTGTCAGCATATTGAAGTGATGGGTAAACAAGCAACAACAAGCAAGTTTCCCCCAGACATACATGAATATCATTTGGCATGCTTTAAAAAAAAAAAAAAAAAAAAGTACTTGTTTTTGCACTTCTATAGCCGTGTCTCAAGATTCAGTGCCTAATATTAAGACAGAGCCTTTATTGACATTTTGTTCAACTTACTACTGTATGATAGCTTGAATCCTTTGCTGGTACCGGTACCGTTGCTGTTAAACTCCATCCAGAGATGGTTAGATGTGCTGTTGATGATGGCTTCAGACATGTCGTTTTTTGTGAAATTGCCCAGGAGTCTTGATGAGCTATCTTGACCATCATAAACCTATGAAAAACAAAAACAAAGACTAAAAGATGCAGGAATGTTTTGTTTTGCAGGCAGTCAGACTCAGAATTGCTTGTCCTTATGATCTACTGGTCTGTTATAAAATTCAAAAACAAGTTTTTTTTTGTTTTTGTTTTTTTCTCAACATGATGACTTTTGGTGTCTGCATTGAATTATGCAATTGCTTTTCAAAATTGCATATATTTTGAAACAATAACCCTGTGAAGAGAGCGCGGGAAACACTATGGCATAGGGAAAAAAAAATATTAAAGGTCATAAATCAATGTCAAGCAGCAGTTCTCCACTCTCTGTTGTGGAGGACACACTGTTTCAAGCTTTAATGGAAAATATCATGTGATTCCATGCAGAATGGGCCACTGGTCTAAGTACTGACAAAAAATGGCCAAAACCAATCAATATCATCATTAATGAGGGCAAAACTGTTTTCTTGTAATCTTGCCAATAATTGATGCACCTCTTAATGGAAATAAATGTTGTGATTTCCATCAAAAGGTGCATGTATACATTTTTTCTCAAGATCTTTTATAGACTATGCAAGAGTCAAGCACTTTTTAAGTTTACTCCAGCACATCCCAAAGACTCTCAATGCATTTAAAGTGGTGCCGATTCATGTGTGAAAATGAATCTTCATGCTCCTTCCAAATCATTATTTCACAATTTGAACCTGAATATGACATTGTCATCTTGGAATATTGCCATGATATACTGTACTTCCTAAATGGTTGTTTAAAGGTCCCGTTCTTTGTGATCCCATGTTTCAAAGTTTAGTTAGAATGTAATGTTGTTGTTAGAGCATAAATAATATCTGTAAAATTATAAAGCTCAAAGTTCAATGCCAAGCGAGATATTTTATTTAACAGAAGTAGCCAACATCGAACGGCCCTCTACTTCCTTCTTTAATGACGTCAGTAGAACAGTTTTTTGACTCACGTCGGCCCACAGGAATGCTCCCTCAACTTGCGCACTTCTTATAACTTACTGTGATTTTCTGAAGTAAAACTGACGCTTCATCTTTTGTGTGATGTACAATAAACTTTATTAAACTCATCAGTATATGTTTGATCATCATTCGGAAACAGCAGACTTGTAGGCTATTAATAAATAATGGATACATACAAGCAGATGACAAATACGTTATAATAACCGTAATTAAACTACTAAACTATACCTGTTCCATCTTTATACAGCACTCTGACTCTGTAGGCATTATTGTTCGACTCGAAATGAACACTGTTACAGAGAGTTTCTGATATTATCATCATTCTGTGAGATGAAATTGTCCTGAGAGACTGAGCGAGCTCATGAAGCTCCGCCCCTCTGCCGACAGCAGCAGCTTATTTGCATTTAAAGGGCACACACTAAAAATGCGTGTTTTTCTGAGCCCCAAAAAATGACTGATGATCTGTTGGGTATTTTGAGCTGAAACTTCACATACACATTCTGGGGACATCAGAGACTTATTTTACATCATGTGAAAAGGGGCATGATACGGGACCTTTAAGAAATTAAAAGCTACTTACTCCATCAATTAGGGTCAAAAGATCTGTTAATCATATAACATGCTATAAACAATAATCACAGCAATAATGATCCAGTCATAGACTAAGTATTTGCCTATTTTTTAGTCGGGCAGTGTACAAGTCTAAGAGCTAATTTACTGACAGATTCAATTCAAATATCCTGAAATTTTGACAAACAATATTACGATGATTCAAAGCAGCAGAATCACTATAACTGTGACAAAATGTATGTGTTAGGAAATTGCTAAAGCACCTCATTCTTACCCTTCATTTGTGACTTAATTAGTGGCCTTATTGGTCTAAAGGGACCATCTTTCTTCTGTGATGGTGTATGTGCCTTGAGCACTGTAACGTAAATTAATCTATGAATTGTTAATGGTGTCTCCAAGTCTCATTTGCTGGTCTCTCATGGATTACAAACTGTTACATGTTGACGGTGTTGCAATTGCCGAACTTCATCAAAGTTCATGTAATTCTGCTTTGTGTTTGCAACGTCACACTTTAACATATAATTCAACTGAAGTGTTAGCCTGGTTAAAACCAGAACATTCTCTGTTGTAACTAAGTTAATGTCTGGCAAAGCATCATAGACAAATCATTTCCAGAGGGGCGTCACCAACGGATGTCGCGAACTGACCTAAACCCAATCTGGGGTGCGTTTCCCGAAAGGATCGTTAGCCAACTATGGTCGCAAGTTCCGTCGTTTTCCAGTAGAGTTCAATGGAAATTGCGACCAACTTGCGACCATAGTTGGCTAACGATGCTTTCGAGAAACGCACCCCAGAGCGATGAAGATGATGACGTATGTAGAGCGGCGGAACATCTCCGAGTGTTGTTCTTTGTTCGTTTTTTTTAACAAAAAGGAAATGTTCAAAACGTTTAAAACAGATGCGATAGCTGATTCGAACGAGTGATGTTCGACGGCGGCATCCATCTTTGTAATGTAGGCTACAAAATCTGATTCAAAATCCCAGCGCTGTCATCATCGTATAAAGCCCGTCCCAACGTTTCTGATTGGTGCCTCGATTTCGGATTGGAAATGGGCTTAAATGAGCTCTTTGCCAGACTAACTCTCAGAGCAAATCTAAGTTTGCCGGAAGTGGTCTGGGTTTTCCCAGTGTACCTCATCCAAACAGATTTTTAAACTATACATTTTCCAACATTATTTAACTGTTTAATTACAGTTAATAAATGAACTGTAATTTAATTCATTGGATGATTCAAAATGCATGACCTCACAATAATTTAACATAAAACAATATATACACGTTGACAGCCCAATGTATAAAATAATGTACAGTGATATAAAATGACTTGATGTTAGTCGTTCTTACCTTGAGGAAATCTCCCTCGTGAAGC